CTAACCATTCTATGATTCTATGATTTTTTAATTTTTTTTTTTAAGGAAAAGTTAAGCATTTAGGCAAAACTCAAGTGTATATTTTTATTCTCCATTCTTTTTTCTCTCTCAATTTTAGGTAAACTTCTGCATTTCAAGTGTAATTTTACTGAAGAAAAATATAAATGTTGTGGTGTTTCCTCAGAGCAGATTCTGCTACCTTTCTTAAACTGAATAGTCCCTTACTCAGCTGCTAAGCTTGTTCAAACTCATCAAAATGCTACAGTATTTTTTTTTTTTTTACTTGATTGGAAAAGGGGGAGAGGAATCAAGGCTCAAGTCTTTCCATCAGTTTTAGTGGGACCAAGAATAGGCCTTTATTTGGATCATGAGTTGGAATGACTGTTCCTGAATTATGCTGAAATAAGCATATTAGGACAGAAGTTGATCATAAATAGTTATTTTGATGTAAATTAATTAACTATAAATGTTCACACACTTGAGATAGACGAAGCCCACATTAGTTCAGTTCAAAATCTGATGGTCTAGGATGCTCCCAGTCAGCTTCAACCTAAGTCTTGACGGAAGCTAATGGTGATGGCAATGATGGGATGGTCATGTTCCGTTTTGGATGTGTGTAAGAAAAATCAAATGTTTTTAAGCACTATTAAGACTTTGCTGATCTGATAAAGTGCATTTATGATGTGCAAATTTAATATTCTGTCCCATTTTCATACATTGCCTAGATTAAACCACTGAAGATACTGTTTTGATTTTAAACAGTGGAGCTTTCATAAGAGAATCAGTGTTAACTTGTAGATGAAGATGCTGGTAATTTGGCCTAATATGGGAATTTTGTTTGACTGAAGCACAATCTGTTTAATGTCTAGATTTTTCATACTGCTTTATTGTTGACAAAGAACTGTCAGTAAAACCCTTACAAATGGTGCTAAATTAAATTATAAATTTTTATGCCCTGTGTATCACAATTAGATATTCCCCTTTTTTCCTGTGTTTGCTCCAAAAGTAAACATCTGGGATTTTAAAGCATGTGAATTCCTTTCTCCTTTCCCTTAGGTTCTGGGTGGAATTGAACCAAGTCTGTACAGGGGTGATATTTGGTACACACCGATCAAAGAGGAGTGGTATTACCAGGTTGAAATTCTCAAACTGGAGGTCGGAGGACAGAACCTTGAATTGGACTGCAGAGAGGTATTTGTGATGTGTTTCTGTCTATAAAACACAAGTTTTGTTAAGAAAAACACTTAATTGATCAGTTTTGTCTTTGCAAGCAGATGTGCCTTGCAGTCTCCTCTGAGAATTAAGGCTGCATGGTAAGTTTGAAAAGAAGTGAACAGTCCATGTGAAATGCAGTGTGCACATCAAGCATGCTAAAATTACTTCAAAAAGACCTTTAAGGTCGTTGATAGTATTTTCACTAAATTAGGGATTAAGCTACAATTGTTAAATGAACAGTCCACTGAAAGTAACGCTGCTGTGGTGTGGAAGAGCTCATCCTCCTGACTAATTTCAGTTGTAACAAAGGTTTTCAAACACTGAAGATGGTGCATTGATCAAGGAGTAAACATCTTTAAACAACTACAGTTTATGGTTTTCTGTTATGCAGTAAAATCAAACCAAAGGGTTTTTAAGCAGTTCTGGTCAAACAAAGAAAAGGAAGATTCTGGATTGCCCCCTGTGGCACAATTGCATGTAAGCATATAATTCACTATGGCAGTGGGCAGGTGTCAGCCTGGGACACTTCCTGAAGTATCTTATCCTATGTCTTCTTTTTTCTTTTTTATTTATGTAATCCCCTTTTGCTTGCTTCAGCCTTGTCAGTTATTATTCCTGATGGATATGTTTTCTGTTTTTATTAGGAATAATGTTCTGCTATCTCTGGATCAGTGTAACAAGGCTGCGTTGTTGTGGTTTTTATTCCAAAGCAGTTTCATTTTTTTTCTGGAAGATATGTGTGTATGGTGTATTTATTTGTTTCTTACTGTTGCTTGTTGCTATTCATGTTTTGATTTTAGTTCTGTAATTTTTATGCCCTGTTTTTGTTAGACATCTTAGACATTTCTCTTAGTTGAAAATCATTGGGACATAATAATCCTAAAGTTTTTGTAGTTTACGCAAGTTAAGTGAAATTTATGATCAATGTCTTAAATGTACATAAATATTATATTTCCATACAAAATATGGAAATCATATTGCCATATAAAATATTTAAAATTAGTCATATCGTCTTTCAACTTCATAAGCAAAACATTATACTGTTAGGAAAGCAAAACTGACGTCCCCTAATATAAATGTTTGTGTTTGCTTTTCTTTCTTGCCTTAAAAAAAACAGTCAACATGTTTTTGAAGAGGATCCCTTGTATTAATGGTTTAATATATGCTGTTTCCAGAAAACAACTCACTTAAAAACCTGGCTGTGTTATAAAAGTTTCCTGTTATTGTCGCTCTTTTCTGAGCCGGGGTTTGCTTTCACATTGCACGTATTAGCATAGTATGCTAGTCACTGTTACAGAAGGCATCATTCCTTTCTTGATCAAAGGAGATCTTCCTGCAAAAAAATTAGAGGAAGAACAGTAAATTAGAGCCAGTATGATTAAAGTTTGGCTAGTTAGGGGCTTGCAGTGGATGCATAATTTGCTGTATAGGATGATGAACTATGTGCCCTCTCTCCTCTGAGTTGTTTTCTAGGAAATGGAACATTTTTTGTAGCCATAACCAGAGACTACTCCTTTCCTTGCAAGGGAAAAGTTGTCCCTTCGCTTCAATGCTGGGAATCTGTCCAGTGTTTGGCTGCAGCTGTGGCCTTGAGCCTGGCACACCAGGGCTGAGAGAAGGACTGAGCTGCTAGCAGTGCGCGCTGCGTAGGACACACTGTTAAATATAAACTGGGAAAACTCAGAAGGCCAGAAGTTACTGCCTGCTGCAAGTACACTGTACACAGCATGAAAATCCAGGTGCTTAGTCCCTGGACGAGTGATCCTGCTACTCTGGGCATTTTTCATGGCTTTCTGTTAGTGATTGACCCTCTTGCTTATGCCTCCTATCTGCTTTTTTTCCAAGGATGCTGGTGATTGTGTAGTTGAGGTACAAATCTGTTAAAATGGACTTCACAATGCCTTGATATTTCTCTCCACTCTTTAGAAGTATTTCTGAGTGTATAATAAATGGTTTCCTGTTTGCTTTTCTTTCAGCTCTGCATGGCAACCTGTAGCATCTCCTCTTTCAAAAAGAAAATAACTTAAGTCAGACTTATTTTTTTACACTTTGGTGGGTTTTATTTTTGTCACTAAAGATATTCCATGTGACTTGATAATATCTAAAGCAATGTATTTTAAATTCGCTTTCTGTTTGACCTCTTCCTAAGAAGCTTATGCTGTATCTTTCTTTGTGTCATATGATTGTGCCATAAACATGTCACTGTTTGGTTATGTTGATCCTGCTGCCTAAGATGGTAGCAAAAGTCAATGCCAGCAGCTGCCACTGCTACTTGCCTTCCCCCCCACACTTAATCATCATTTTTAAGGACTTAATAAAAAAAATAGCTTTTTAAAATGTTTATTCTTTGTTTACTGTATCTGAAGTTTGCTGAAATCTCTTAATCTGAGGGTTGGGGTTTTAATAATGAAGATAAATGTTTGCTTAGTTTTTTTGGTGCAGATTTTGAAGCAGCAAGATTGCCATTTCAAGTTTCTTTGTCCTTGTTTCTGTCTGTATCTTAGTGACTTTCAGCAATTGAGACAGAAAGGTGTGGCATTTGGCAGTTGAACTCTTGAGCCAGTACTGAACATTACATGTAATAAGGCCTAAAGTTCCCTGAGTCATATTCTTGAATTAGATACACTAGTCATTAAAAGTAGGCTGCTGTGTTGTGTTTAAACTAGAGTGGGTTGTTTTCATGATAGCAGAGACCTTGGTCTGGAACTTGGACATATATGTAAGCTACATCAACATGCTTAGTATCCGTCTGCACTGACCATGAGAGTGCTTTTGCCCAAAGCATATGGGAGGTAATGTGGATTAGCTTACACCTCTGACAGAGACTGGGCTTTGCTTCTTTTTACAGTGGTTTGGCCATTTGGAACAGCTGTGGTGACATGCAGTAATTTCTTGAGTGGTGCAGATAAACTCATTCTTGTGTCTAGGTTGACTGTATCTTGCTTTTACTCTCAAACTTCATTTGAATACAGGCTATCAACTAGAGCAAGCTGCTGACAGGTATGACCTGCAGATTTGGGAAGACAGCTACCAAAAAGGAACAGATGTGTTATTGTTATGAAACAGTGGAATCTGCATTACATTAACTACAGTGTGTAACTTCTCTCTTCTTTTTCTCCTCTCCCTAGTATAATGCCGATAAAGCAATAGTAGACAGCGGGACCACGCTCCTCCGTCTGCCCCAGAAAGTCTTCAGTGCTGTTGTGCAAGCAATAGCTCGCACGTCCCTGGTAAGCTAATGTCATTAAATCTGCTTGAAATGTTAAATTCCTATTAAATGCTCACACAATCTTTGAAAGGAGTATAAACTTTGCTGTCTCCTTGTAAGTCACAGGGTTTTAACCTGATGGGAGCAGAATCTGTCCTGGTCCACTCCTGCTAATAAGTGAGAAGTGACTGATAGTCTTTGATGGAAACAGAAAAGGGAAAGGAAGAGGTGAAAAGGTCCTTGCCAACCTCAGCTGTTCTATGAGTCTATGAAAAGAGAAGGGGAAGGGGAGGAGGGAAAAGGGAGGTTCAGATATAGACAAGAAGTGTGTATGTGGAAATGTATCAGAAATAGTGCAGAGATGGAGTATTTTGTTCTAAGCATTTCAGAAACATGGACATAATCCCCATTGCTCTGATTAGAAGTATGAACAGTGCAAAAATCAGTCCTTTCGTTCAAAACAGAGTAGAACCTGCTGCTGCAAGCAGTTTCTTTTCAAGTATAATGCTTATTGTTGCATAGAAAGGATGCCATTCATTGGGATTATTCATATAAATAAAGCTGCTTTTGACCTTCATTATTGACTTATTTATGTTTAAAAGCATCTTTCTTTGGAAATAGAGTAGGCTTTACAAGTAGAGCATGGGGATGATGGGTTTCTCTGAGTGTAGAGTAACTGACACAGCATTTTCTGGTTGATAAAAACGATTTATAAATTTTGGTTGAATACAATGAACAGTGCCAAGGTGAAAAATAAATCCCAGATATTTCAATGTGAACAATTTTAATAGTTTTGTCATGGATTCATAATAGGACAGTGGTAGTAGTTGCAGATCACAGGAAATGCAGTAACTAGGCTATTGGTCAGCTACCCAAAAGACAGAGTATTTGCCTGGATGCCAGCAATGCAAGTTCCAGATCCCTTTCCCTTTCGTGCCAGATTTGGCACGAAATGTTCTTCACTGCTTGCAGATGTCCAGTATCTGAAATAAATGTACCAGTTATCTTATGTGGCTCAGCTTCCCTGGTTGAAAAGTTCTACTCTTTACAAAGCACTTAAGTATAAACTGGAACAATTTCAGTAAATGGGGTAGAATTGAAAGAAGCTTATGAAGAGTTCTTGTAATGGCACCTTGGCTCCTGTGAAGTGGGTCACAGCAGTCCAAACTCCTCTCTGATGTTGGTCAGAATGACATTTGAACTAGGGCCTTCCTCATGACAAGTAAATAGACAGCCAACTGATCGATAAGATATTAGAGGGGAACCACTCACTCTGCTTTATGCATTTTTAATAGGAAGAAAAACCATTAACCAGCTCTTCTCTTTTTAGGGTTTTTTTTTTTCAGTCTCAAAGACCTTGTTGGTGTACCCCTTTCCCTCTACACACTCCAAAAGTTACTTTCACAGTTCTAAACAAAGGACATAATCTATTAAATAAGAAAGTACTTACAAGATATAAGGATTGGATTCCAGCCATGTAGGAGTGATGTCAGGAAAATGGGTATTTTCAGCAATTGTACCATGGCATTACAACTGTACTCTTAGCACTCTGTGCATCTGGCAGGCTTTGTATCACGAAACATAAAATCATCTGCTGTAATCAGACATACTTCTCTGACCATAGGTGAACCAGGTTAACAAGTTCCTGCTCCTAGCAGCAAGATATTATTGCCCCCTTGGGTATAGTGGAATAACTGCATGTGAAGCATTCCTTTGTTCAGCTCCATAAAAAACACAAGGCTGTGAGCTTCATGTTCTTTAGTGAAGCAGATTGTTTTTTAAATCATCTGTATTTGGATCGAAGTCTTTTAGAGAGTAGCTATAGATGCAGTTTAATATTGGTAGGTGTGAAGGGTAGTGGTTTTGGCAGATGAGCAGAGATGAGCCACAGAGGGGAGGGAGCTACTACACCTCACTGAGCTGAAGTCAGAACAGCATGTCTAGTCACAGCATTAAAGTAATGCTAAGTTAATAAGTTGGAGAGAGGAAGGCTCAAATAAACCTAAAATCTTTATTTTAATAACCTTTTAGGTGTCATACAGCCAAATCCTCACAATGAGTTTCTTCAGCATATATGGAAGTAAGGCAAAGAAATGCAATGTAATAAGCAGTCTTTCTGGGAAATGAAAGGGGACACTTAAAATAGAACACTTTATAGACTTGATCTGTCCGGTCTGAATGCTATCTTGTAGTTTTTCTCAGGTCACAAGCTCTGCTTTCCAAGACAAAATGGAAAGAGAGAACTTTATTTTTCAGCAGGTCTGGCCTAGGAGTTTACTGTGGGGGGCAGAATGTTCTATCCCATGCCAGGAAGTGTGCTTGTGAGAGTAAAAGGTAAAAGCAGTCTGCTGGTGTCCGTAAGTCTCATTGTGTGCTTACATGAGTGTGTGCTTACATGAGTGTGTGCTTGTTGGCTCAAGAACAGAGATGAGCACCTGGAAATATGAAGTCTCTAATACTGTGCAGCCCCAACAAATATTTCATTGGCAGGTATGTGGGTGCGTGTGAATACTTGCCACCTGTAAAATGCCATGTAACTAATGGATGAGCTGATGTTTACAAAATAATCGATATCACAGCTAAATGCAAATGAGGGGAGAGGCTGGATTCCATCTTCTTCACCCAAACAGGAGGCTTTGGCTGAGCAGCATCAGAACAAGATATTGTCTTGGATGTCGCTTCATGTGGGAGTAAGAACCAGTGCAAAGTAATGCACTCAAATAATGGAAGGATTTTCCTCTCATCTGGCAGCAGATCAGCTTTGTGTGCTTCAGGGAGCATGAACAGTGGATAAGATGTTTGTCTTAGGCAAACAAGCTCTGCAGGAGTTTGCTTTTTGTGTTGCTAGTGCTATAGATATATTAAGAAGTACTGTTAATCAATCTTATTACAAAAGCATGTCAAGTGAGTGGCAGGGCAGCAAAAGACACAGAGGGGGATGTGTTTCTTTCTGTTGACCTTAATAGACCTTAGCTCCCTTAGATGCCAGGAGATTTTGGTTTAGCCCTTGGCTTCAAAACCCTGAAGTTGAGCAAGAAGCTGTAGGTATGTGAAGAAGGGAGATTACTCTATTATGGATTCCTGTAGTTTGTATTTTGGTTTGTGTTTTTTAAAAAATGTCTGCAGCTTCAAAACGTTGGCGTTTGGTCAAAACTGTTCAGAGAAGAGGTAGATAGGTAGTAAAAAGCCCATTGATGTTTGCCTCTTTACGGTACTGGTTGCTCAGGGAGGTCATACATACATCTTCATTGAAGAAGTGGAAATAGTGAGACACAGATGGTAAGGGAGAGCTAGACATGCTTTTGCCTCTTGCTCCTTCTCCCAAGTCACAATGGGTTATGATGCACCTCGAGTTGTGTGTTGGGCTTTTGCTTTGATCCTTAAAGACAATACTCTTTGTCAAACTTATGTTCATGCTTTAATTTCTCCATGGGAAAGGAAGAAGTATCAAATAGTGGTAGTGGTAATTTACAAAAATCAAGATTTTTGTATGTAATGTAATGTATGTAATCTGTATGTATCACTTTTTTTTTTTTTTTTTTAATAGATACAAGAATTCTCTTCTGGTTTCTGGACTGGTTCACAGCTTGCATGCTGGGATAAAACTGAAAGTCCTTGGTCCTTATTTCCCAAACTCTCCATCTACCTGAGGGATGAAAACTCCAGTAGGTCGTTTCGGATCTCTGTCCTACCACAGGTCTCAGCTTTCTTTCTTTATTCAGTTATGCATTTATTTTTGCTATTGTAAAGCTCCTAAAAAAATAGGAGCTCTTTTTAGCAGTGATAGAGAACTGGCTTATTGCATTCAAGGGAAGGATTTTTAAATGAAATTTTTAAAATTGTATTTTGAATAGGGAAAATACCCAACTTATCAATCCTAAAATCAAAAAAGAAAAACACAGTTTCCCTCTGAGTGCATTCCATATAGTTGGGAATGATTTTTTCAAATTGTCAGGGAAAATAGACAAGTTTCTGGGAGGACTTGGTTATTTGGGGTTTTTTGGGTTTTGTTTTGGTTTGGTTTTTTTCACAAGCCTTAGCCACATCAGATGTCAATACAGAATGTCTCTGCTCATTGTGATCTTCTTGTTTTGGGAAGGAAATTGATTTGTTTTTCATGGCATTCTGAGTTGGAGCACTTCTCCTGAATGTGACAGTCTTTTGGCAATGAGCCTATGTGATCTCCTTACCAGTTTCTGTAACTTGGTTGATTTATCTTTCATTACTATTCCATCTCAGCTTTTAGAAAATAATGCGGCAGTTTTATTTTGCCTCTCTGGCTCCCCTACACACACACAGTAGGTTGCAATACGGGCTAGTATCCTCTAACATTACTCATGCAGTCTGTTACCTTAGGGGGTGGTCAGGAGCAAAGAGGAGAATGAACCTTTTAAGTACATTTTAACTTGAAATATACTAAAGCCTTATGATAAGTTTTTCTGTATTGATCATGTAGCTTGGTGATCTTTCATCTTCCCTGAGGAGACGGGGGTAAAATGTGACTTGAATTTATGAATCTGGAGCCTTGAAGCTGACACTGAATGCTCTCTGAATCTATTCCATCCTGATAATTTTTTAAATGATAAAATTATTCTCTAATTTGAGTTCATATCTCAAGTTCTTTCTCAGCTATCCTTGCCTTATGGAAAGTGGCTCTTATGAATTTGCTGTTGACCTTCACAATAATGACTGACTGCGTTCAAATTTAAGCTTAGAATTCAAGAACTTTACCTCTTACCTGCATGTAAGCTTTGACCAGTTTTAAAGCACATACAGAAATCTGTTTGTCCCTATTAATTCTCTATTTCCAGTGGAGTTTGAGTGCTTGAATATAAAAATCAAAAGGTCTGAACTTTGAAGTACTGTGTGTGGTGTTGCTTCTTTTTTTTTTTTTTTTCTTTAAATCTGGCTTTTTTTTTTTTTTCTTTAAATAGCTTTATATTCAACCCATCCTTGGAATAGGAGACAACTTACAGTGCTACCGATTTGGCATCTCTTCCTCCACGAATGCTCTGGTTATTGGTGCTACAGTCATGGAAGGCTTCTATGTAATATTTGACAGAGCCCAGAAGAGAGTTGGTTTTGCAGTGAGTCCATGTGCAGGTAAGAGAAATGTTGTTCAGTCTGTGTGCAGGTAAAAGAAATATTGTTCAGGACTTGGTGAGTGAGGAAACACACACTGCTCTCAGAAAAACATGTTTGCCACTTGTCTGATGGGAAAAGCGTAGTTACTTACGAAGTGTGAAGGGTATATTTCTGAACAATCCCAAGCTATCCAAATTTCAAGGGGTGAAAAAAAAAAAAGCTGTATTGCATGCAACAGTTTTACAGTATGAAGTAAATCAGCCTCAACTCTTAGGGTATCTTAGCTGCATTCTTCCCTCTGAGAGAAGATCTTCTTTCCGAGACATCTATCTGTGTGTTCGGTTTCCTCAACAGTTACATGGTACTCATCCCTGTTTTTAATGCAGCTTAATTTTTGTGTAGTTCCTGTTCTAATTTGCAGATTAATTGATTCTTCAACTAACTTTTGCAATGTGCAGTGAAGTACCTTACTTAAGCTTTTCTCTTAATGTAAATTGTGCCTTTTCAATCAAAGAAAGAGCTAAGATTAAAATGAGACTCAAATTAAGACTTCTGGTGTTTGTGTTGGTTCTAAAGAAATAGTTTTCTCAGTGTAAGTAGAAAGCCATTAATTTTTTAATTAGCTGCTGAGAAAATGTGAAAAAACTCATAATTTTTGGCTGATTTTACAGTGCTGGCTAACTTTCTTACTCTTTCATGTTCTGTCTTACTTTACCACGAGTAGCTAAAAACAAAATTTTGGGGGTTTTCTCCCATTGTTGATGAGACACTACTTTGGCACCACAATAACACACAAGTAGGAGAGGAGGGAAGGGATGTGTATCTATATGCAAGTCTCTGTCCCAAACAGAACTGGTCTGTGCCCTGAAGAACATTGTATCATTTGAGTTTTGCATGAGAAAAGGACTATAACTGACAGTGCTTCTCTAATGCCCAGTACTTATGTTAGAGAGGGTAAGGGCAGTAAGTACTTGAGTGCTTAATGCAACCAGGTAATTGAGGGGGAAGAAGAGAGATACTAGCTAGATGAGTTGTAGCTCCAGGGCATTTTAATAAGTTTTTTTTTTTTTTTTTTTTTTTTTTTAAATTTCCATTGTTAATGGGTTCAAAATTGTCATCTTTGAGCTTGCTACGAAAGAAAATCTGGATATTGATGTGGGTTGCTTAATGAAGACCTCTATAAGGTACCATGCAGTGATGAAAGACACATTTTGAATGCATCTGTAAGGAGAACATAACTAGACAAACACTGCAGACAAGGTTTTCCTTCCTTTCGTTCTTCCTTGTGCTTCCCGACTAAAATTTTATCAAGCATAGAGCTGCCTCCTGTCCCATGCTGCAGCCATTAATAGAGAGGGGAGGGGCCATTCTGACAGAACATATTGACTGACTCGTGGTCCGCTGGGGACACAAGCCAGCTGGTGTTTCTAAGGACTGCTTTGACAGTATGTCTTTGTTGAGGAAAAGAGTCAGGGAACCATAATAGCACCTTAATGTTAAGATTACTACATAGAAGCATGGAGTTCTGCCACTTCATGTAGTTCTGCCAACCTTGTCTGAGGAGGAAAAACTGAGCTTGCTGAATAGAAATGAAATCTGAATTCTTATGAGCTTGGACACATGATGATAACCAGCTGGTGCTAGAAGGCATTTCTTTGTCCGTGTTTCATGCATATGTCTAGTTTAGCATCATGGGAACTTAGCTTCTTGAGAAATCAGATGACACAAGCCACTGACTGAGACAAGATACACTGATTTGTCAGACTCCACTCACATGGGGCAGATGACATTTTGCTGGATGTGACAGTTATTCTGAATTCATTTCTTCACAGCTTGTGGTTTCCATATTTAACACTACTTTCATCAGAAAACCACAACTGTGAGTGGTTAGCAGTCAGTGTAGTGTGAGGGATTAAGCTGCCTAACTGGCTTGCTGTGGAGGCCAGCCATGTCCTCCATAGCAACTATATTAATGTAATTTATTTGGAGCTTTTTAGTCTGCTCGTGGGCATAAATTAAATTCAATTACTGCTGGCATAAATCTTCAGAAATAGAAAAATATGAAAGACCATTTGGTGTGGCTTTGCAATGACCTATGCTTTCTTGTTTACAATAGAGTCTTAGCACTAAGTTTAAGCCCATGTTTTCATAGGATGTTAAATGAGTATGTGCTGAATACAGAAATGGGGCGAACAGGACTGAAAGTCTTAACTCCTGTTCTGAGTAGGAGGCTGGACTAGATGACTTCCAGGGACCTCTTCCAAGCAGCACTATACAATTTTGTGATAAATTTGATCTAACTTCAGGTTTACCTCCTTTCCAAACTGCCCAAGATAGTGAGTGAGAGAGAGGTGTAATTTTTGTCCTGTAATCATCAGTAATGAAGAAAATCCCATTTATTCAAGGTCAATAATTTATTGTAGGTAGCTACCACCAGATGTTATAATAAAAATAGGCCAAAATGTCCTAATTCAGCTAATGCGTAATATGCTAAGTGTGTGTGACTGTTAATTTGTGTTAAGGGCTTGTTTGAACAATTTAGACAAATTTCCCCTCTTTTGATTGCCTCTCAATTTCCCTAGGATCAGGAGAGGGTGAGGGAAAACTTTTCTTTTTGGAGGGAAGAAATCAAAGGCTGTGCTGCTATCAGGCATTCTCAAAATGTACTTTGAAATGTCAGCCACTATGGCAACAGTTTTGTATTGCCTTTTTTAATAGGAGTAATTACTGTACTCAAGCCAAATAATGAGTAACTAAGGACTGTTTATTTTCAAAGCTATCTCCAAGGTGGAAAATTGTGCTGTTTCTTTTATTTATTTATTTTTTTATTTCTTCAAAATGCCAAATTCATAGGTAGTAATACTTATACCTTGCATTTCACATGAGTATTAAATGTAGTTTAGTTTGGTTTTGCTGCAGGACTTCGTAGAGACAGATGCAATAGTGTGAGGGGTTAAGATGTCCAGAAGAAACAATTGCAGGGCAGACAAAGTGTAATACTGGGGCTTTGAACAAAATGGATTTTTGCCACAGACCTTCTAGGTAGTCCTTTAAAAGTCTGTCCTTTACTGTGCAGCTCCCTTACCCTATCTGTGTAACAGCAGTGCCTTGGCAAAGATATGCTGACAGTACTGGGTGTACAGGCCAGTTTATTGCCATCTGATGAGTTGAGAGAGTATGTATTTGGTATTCACCGGTGTTAGGGTGCTTGTGGGTGCAGCCTCAGCTTTCACACAGTCCATTCTAACAGCCTGTTGCTGCTAAAGGAGTCTTCCAGACTTGCAGCTGGAGATGGAGTTGAGTGATCCTTCAGAAAATTCCTCATTTGGGCATTTTGTTTGTTATGATATGGTTTTCCAGCAGTTCACTGAGTTGCCCTAACTCTGCTTGCAGTGTACCAGTCACTGGCACCAACAAAAAAGAGGCAGCAAGGGAGAGGAGTGAGAGTGAGCCGGGCTGTCTCTTTCAGCAGCAGGCTGTGATTAAGTTGAATGGAGTCAAATGAGACTTAAACCTTAAAATAATATGAGGTGTTACAAGGCCAGGGACGGAATATCAACTAAAATCTCTCACAGTGAACTGCAGGTAATGCACCCCACCTATTCTACATTTGTTTCTCCACAAAAAACCTTAAAGGCTACCTTCCTGCCTTTCCAAAACTCAGGCTCTTCTTTTTCTTCCAAAGGGTATTTTATGTTCATCTCTTTAAACGTGCTTTCAGGACTCATGTCTAAGATATGTGTAAATAAGAGGTACTGTTTTCAGTAGGTAGGATTGCTTACAATTTGGCAAGAGTGTGTCTGTGTGTAAAATGAACAAGAAATTAATCAGGAAGCTTAAAACTGAAGCCTTTGTAAGAAGAACACAAATGTATCTTGCAGTATCTGACCGGAGGAGTGAATTACAACTTTTCAGAATACTTGTTAAAATGCACACACAGTACTAACTGCAGGCTTCTAGTTGCCTCAAGCAAGCTAAAAGGTATCCATCCTTCAGACCTGCAGATACAAAATGATCTGCGTATTTTGTTGCCCTAGGCAACTCACTTGCTCTGCCTTTACAATATGCTTTACAACATGTGTAGCTCTGTCCACAACTCAGGGGAACTTTGCTGTGCTTGCCACGGTTACTGTGACAACCATGGGCAGCATAACCCTTTTTCTCAAATACTGGTTTAACAAGTAGGGGTTTGTGATGGTAATGAAACAAGTCACACAGTGTGATGTTACCAAGATGGATAGCCGTTCGAAAATGGAGCTGCCGAGGCACTCCTTCATGCTTCTCGCCTTAGCTTTGTCATCTCAATTTTTCAAGCTGCTTGGTTAGCTTCTCCCTTCCTGCCCAACAGCACTGCTCCATCATGTCCCAGCTCCTCACTCCTGATATTGACCTTCCTCTCAACCGTCCCCCTTTTCTGTACAACTGTCACCCAGCTCTCCTGCCTCACCTCCTCTTCCTTCTGAATTTTCAGCTTCACTCACAAGAGTATCTGTGCTGCTTTCCACCCTGCACCCTGTGTTTAGGATACAGTCCTTTAAGGTATCTATGAAGCTAATGATCCTGCATGCTGCTCCCTAAGACTCTGGAAGATAGCAAACACAGAAGATGTAAGAATCATGAGATACTCTTCCACTTGCAAATGCCAGAAACAAACAAAGGCTGCCCAGATCCTGACCTACTCCAATGTAGGTGGTGTAGAATTTTTAAGCTTTGTTAAATTGACAGTTTTGAAAGGTTAGTCCACAGAGAAAAGGTGATCCAGTGGGCTTTAATTTGGGCTGTGGAGGACCTGATTTAAATGTCTGCTTTTGTTGACAGCCTGTGTTAGATGTGAGAGTATCGTGGTCTCCTTGTGCTTCAGATTCTCATTTTATAAACATTGAATGCTAGTATTTTTATTACAATGAGAAATACAATAAAACATGAGTATGCTGAGATGTATGATGATGGAGGGAAAGGGATATATAGGTATTTAGGCTAGATCTTTTGTTACTTGCTTTTAAATGGTGTCTGTAGACTTAATGTTTTTCTTTTTGTAATTTCTCAGAAGTTGATGGCTCTCCAGTATCTGAGATTGAAGGCCCTTTCACAACAGCAGATGTTGCAAGCAACTGTGTTTCTAGCGTTTCTTTCCATGAACCAGTGTTGTGGATTGCCTCCTATGCTCTCATGAGCGTGTGTGGAATTATCCTCCTTGTGCTGATCATCCTGCTGCTTATTCCACCACGGTGTCAGCATCACTACACTGACAATGACGTGGTCAATGATGAATCCTCCTTAGTGCATCATCGATGGAAATGAGAAATTTGATTATGAAACCTGAGACTTAAACAGAATGAAGAACAGAGTACTTTGCCAAGGGGAAGAAGCCAATGCCTCAGTCCTTTCTACGTTCATTAAAGATTGTTGAAATCCCGCCAAATATCCTGCATCATAATTTTTAAAGCTTTATTTTCTAACACCGATTCTGAACCAAAGCACTGTTAACCACCTCTTAAGTGCTATGGTACTGGACTTGCTACTGCAGTACAATGAGCCTTTATGCTCTCAATAGTACCTTTTTTTTAAAAAAAAAAAGAATGAAAAAAAAAAAGAAAAAAACACACCATGATGTTCTTCCGCTGTCTGAACAAAATTGTCCATCTCCCTTTCACAAAAAAGGAGCTGTCAGTATTTTCTAACTAATCAAACCCTGACTGTAGAAAAAGAGAAAAAACTTAATCATCTTTCTAATTAATTGCATTAAATGAATACTGCTTTCTGTTTACATCAATTCATGTTGAAACTGTGCTCATGGTGTGGGGGAGGGAGAAAGGTCAGACTTAAGCAGCAGAGAAAAGCAAGTGAGGTCAAGAAGAAATAGTGGTTTGTTGTTTGGTTTTTTTTTTTTCCTCAAGATCACTGCTGCTGCTTGAGAGGGTCACCCTTCCTGAGTGTCATTACAAAATAATTCGAGGAGGTGAAAACTGGGAAACAAACTTGTTGAGCCTTAGTGTAAAACAAGACTACCTCTCTTAACTTACAAGGATGCTACCACTGGTAAGCGTGTGGCTTAGAACTGGTCTTGAAGCACAAGATGCTACATACAACCAAATGCAACTCCTTGGCTTCAAAGTAGTGGTTTTTATAAAAATTAATACTTCATTATTTTCCACTTTGCACAAAAAAAACTTTTCAGTTTTTCCCCTAATGTGGAGTTTTGTGGGGTTTGTTGTTTGTTTGTTTGGGGTTTAAGTTGTGGATGACTGATATTGACAAAAGGCTAGTCTGCATATATATAGACAGATGATAAAGCTCCCTGTTCTGACATCTCTTTAGGTATTCCTAGTGAGCATGTAACAAAAAGGAAACAACAAAATGAGAAAGACAACCCTTTTTTTGGCTGACCTCAGCAACCTAGAAGTTGAAGGGAAAAGTAGCTGTCTTCATAGACAGGCTGTGAAGTGGAAGTCTTAATGCTGGCTTGTTTTTCAACTTGAACAGCAGTTGGAGGTGTTTAGTTTAGCTTCACCAGTGTGTCAATCAAATGAAAAGTGTGTGTACTGACCGGCTGAAAACAAACGTGGTAAAACTGAAAACAATAGTGGGAGAGAGCAGGGAAAAATATATTTGGCTAGACCTCCATTGTACAAGCATAGATATTAATGCTGAGATCAGAACATGGTATTTTCTTTGCAGATAGGACCTTTTTTTAATAGCTAGTCAGCGTTGCAGGACCTCCATTGCTTTTCTATAACACTAGCATAGTGGGTTTGAAAGATGAACAATGCAAGGCTGAGGAGTCCACTGATAACCCTTAGTTATCTGTTGGTTTGGGGTTGGGTGTTTTGTTTGGTTTTTTTTAAAGGAAAAAAAAATCCTTTGCATTTCAACAGCAGAGCAGTTTGCATATCTGTGTGGGAAACAAGGAGGGGGGGGAAAAAACCAGGAAGCTTAGCTCTGAATCTCCCAATCCCTTGCCTAAAATATTTTCTGCCTATAATCCTTTCATATAGCTTTCTGATTCACACTGCCTCTGCATCCAACTCTACATGGAATAAGAAAAGATTTATTTTTTTTCCAGAAATGGTGCTTTTACAGAGGTGCCACGTAATATGGTTGAAAATAAAGCACTCGTGTTTTTTTTAAAACTAACTTGTGTATTTCATTTCATAACTGGAAGTGCCTGTGGTTTTCTTTTCTTTTTAGTTCGTGCACTTTCAGATTGCTTGGCTGAATAGAGTGAAATAATTGGTGTTGTGATCCAACATCTGAAAATTATTTATCTTGATTTATGAGTTGGAAATACGAGGAAATTTAGTTTGCCTCCTTCTTCCTCTGCCTCTTAGTTTTTAAGTGGAGAGAAATTATTAATTATAAGGAATGTAAGAAACTATAGAGCTTAGCTGTTTTCTCACTATTCTGTTTTCCATACATCTCTCTCTCAATGTCTTAGAATTAGAATTTTTACTGCACAGTATAACAAGAAGTTCCCTTGAGTTTTTCTTAAAGCAATAGACTTTGCTCTGAAAAGAAAGTGATATCTCCAGTTCTGTGTTTCAGTTCCGTATAGTCCTCCTGGGTTTGGTTTGATGGGCAACAAATAATTTCAAAGTTGTAGTCCTTCTTCTACAGTGTAGTAATATACATAATGCTTCTGTCACCTGTTTCAAACAGAAACAGTGTGAATGTTTGGATTGATACAGTGGTAAATAATGAGCCCTTTTTCAATTCAGAAAGTAATAACACTGGTATGCTCTTAAAATGTTTCTTAGCTGTTTCCCTCTCCCCACCGCCTCCTTATCACCTTACCACAAAGTGTTTTAGGAAGGAATTTATTGAGAAAGGTTCCTAGTACGCTTTCTAATTACAAGGAAGATTTCTGCTGAGTTACTTAATGAAGTCTTCTTAGTGTGCTAGATTTCATATAAAAGCCTTTCAGTTTTACCCTTTCACTTTGAATGTCATTGGTCAAGACATTTTAATAGAAACACTTGAATTCTATAATCAATAATCAAGTAGCACTAGTGAAATATTAATATGTTCCTGAGTTTTCATGGTATCCTTTGCCACTAAAATTTGGCTTATAGTAAAAATGCTGTTAGCGACATCTGCTAGCAGCACAAACTTCATCTCAGCTTGTAAATTGATACTCACACTGGCAGATATTCAGGTGAGTATTGCTTTGTTGCTCTGGCAACAAGAAGAGCAATAGAAACCCTTGAGGGTTCATTTTTAGCCTACAGCACATTAAGAAAAATAATGCCCCTGAGCATTTTTCTATGAAAGATGAAATAGAGTGATAGACTACAGTGTTACCAAGTGTGTCTTACTAGTGATCTCTTTCCTCGATACATATTTTTTTTTTAAAGGGAAGTGCTGTGAGGTATTTTATACTCCTGATAACTAACTTCAGAGATAAGATGAAACCATACCTTAAATAAAGGGGAGGGGGGGGGGCAAAAACCAGAGCATTGAGTAAAGGTGATGCTGGAAAATATTCTTTGTTTATTATGGAAAACAGGATGCTTCACATCACAGCACTCTAAATCATTCCTTGCATACATATCGATATTTCTTGCAGAACCAGAGTTCTCCCAAAGTGAATGTAATATGATGCACTATGAAAATGTCAGAAAGCTGTGTTTCATAGGATGCAGCATTTTAGATCATTGATTCTATCAGTTCAATCATAAGGTATTTGAATTATTTGAGTTCAAGTGGTTAAACCTGCGTTCAGGCATGGGAATATGTTAGTTCTATCCCACTGCCTTCACAAGTTTTAGAAATATTATCATGGGCTTTTTGGCTCAGTTTAAATGCTGAGGAAAATAGATGAAGAATTTTAATAAACCTTTTCTTCAGGTTCTGAAAAAAAAACAACCCAAAGTTAGGTAGAGGGACTTGTTCTGTTTTTAAAGTGAAACATTGTATTTAGGATTTAATGTTGGACCAACCTAAAAGCAATGCATCAAGGCAGTGGACCATTCCAGTTCTCAGCTTTGATGCTGTGCAGGTTAACTAGTAGTAATCACAGAGCTATTGGATTTGGTATCTCTTGTTAACATATCAGTTGCTTAACAAGAGTTAACTCTTTATCAGCTAAAGTCAACCTGTGAGTATTCTACCCAGTTACTTGGTGTATGTCTGTTGGCTATGTTTCAATGAAGGATGAGTCATTTGTATACTAACTTTTTTTTTAAATATGAAAAGGCTTATGAGAATTGCTTAACACAGCACTTCTTTTCAGAGAGAGAGTGGTTCTTAAGTTTTCTGATAATCCAGAATGATTGTGCTGCTGAGAGCTGCTTTAATTTCTGTAGAGGTTTCCAACAACTAGGTTGATTGGTTGTCATATCCTTATCTCGGACATGAACCTCATATATATAAGTAGTAATATGAGCTGTATAATGAAGGGGGCTGGTACAATGACCTATGGAGGTGAAATAAAGGAAATTATGAAAAGATAAATAAGTAAGCTACCCTTCATTTCATTAAAAATTTTAAGAGCGTAATGGATTGGGATTGATCCTTTTAATAAAGGTCTGTACAATTTACCAAGACATTAGTTCATGTCAAACTTGACTCCCTGATTGATAAATTGTTCATTTCTGGCTGCTGAAGTTCTTGTTGCTGTTAAGACAAGTGAAGACAGATTGGTAATGGGATATGAGCAATCTTCTAAGTCAGTCAGATTTTCTAATTAGACGTTAGGGCCAGGCTTGTCAGTAATCCAGAGTAATGGTTCCTCGGAAATGTTATCTGAAATATAATTGTTGGTTTGAACCAAACCCCTGGATGAGATGGATCCATATCACAAAAGGCACTGCTATACGATTTGCAGTAACTGACAGAGACACTAGGGTGAGGTGAAGCTGGCTGTGTTGTGAAATGTGGAGATGCTAAATAATTGAGTCTTCTACCAGAATTACAGATGAAGGCTGAGTCACCTTGGTAGAGCAGAATGGCAGAGTGACTGCAGTTGCTGACAAGCTGCTGTAAGTGTAACATCAGTCACTTGGCTTCTTTGGTAAGGGTTCATTTGTCTGAGTATTTTGAAAGCCAGTGTACTCTAAGGTGGCTATTGCTGCTACTGGGAGATCAATAAAGGGGCACCTTTAAGTAGAATCATTGGCCAGTTACTGAATGTTCCCCTCTCCATATAACCAAGCCTGCAGTAATATGTCTCACCCCTAGCAACAGTCTGTGTGTAAGCAACAAAACAGGTTAGTTTAAAAGATGTTGATATCCATGACTGTGCAGTAGTAATATAAGAATGTTTTGTGCTTTTTATTTTCTGCATTTTCACTTTATGTAGGCTTTAGCTGGATCTTTGTGGTCGGGTAGTTTTTTAAATACTGGGAATTTTAGATTAGACTATGAAGACATGCAAAATTTATTTTAAGCTAGCCAAAAAGTAAAACACATAAGGTAATTTTCAGCATTTAAAAGGAAGTAGCCCTCAATAAGTGTTCTCTCCTTTTTATTTTTAAATTTGTTATAATCACTTAAAATCAATGTATTTTAAGATAGCTGCTGTTCTGCAAATTCACTGGCTGTAAGTCTACTGATTTTTATGATTGTATTCTAGCCCCCTCATTCCTGTTCCCCCCCCCAAAAAAAAGTTCCAAAAAGCTGAACACTTCTATATCCAAAATTCAGACTTCTAACAAAAGATACATTTTTAGTAACCATTCACAGACCTGTTTTCAAGTCATGTGTAAGGCTTTAGAAATTAACTCTAGATTGAAAATACTTGCAGTAGTATTAAGAGGAAAATTACAGCCAAAACTTTACCTATGTCAGTGGTCCCTGAATTTCTGTGTGCA